TTTTTTTTTTTTTTTTGTATCTCAACTCCCTAAAACACAAAAATACAGATATAACACCTTTCTATAAACCAGCACAATAGTTTAAACAGTGCTGTATCTATAAGAGGTATATCAGAGCTGAAATGTAACATTTTCATGGAGAGCAACTTTTGATCTTCTGCATAGCCATGTAAATCCAAAATAAAAGCAGATTTCAGTGGAGTATTCTGGATTTATATGCTGAAAAGGAAATTAGATTCTGCTCTGACTTGTATTCACTGAAATTACAAAAATAAAAACTAGTATAAGTTAGACCTAGGGCTCGACTGTTGTCATTTGCTTCATCACTTAAGTCATATTATATTCCAACTGAAGGTAGGAAGGCAACTTGCAAAGGAAGTGGGCTTGTATCCAGTCAGACTAGGATAGAGGCAGTTAGCTGCCCCGGTGACTATTACCCTGCCCTGCACCTGCTTCAGGGTAGGATGGAATTAAACCAAGGTTTCCTTCTTCCTAGGCTAGTGCTCTAACCCCTAAAACATTGCTATACAGGGGGAAGATGTCTCCTCCTTCAGCTGCTTTTTAAGTGAATGAGCTTTGCTTGGTTTGAAAGGATGCTGAACTGTCAATCTAGAGTCTAGGGTAATGGCTCCCTGCAATTCTGAATGAAGAACTAGGTTTGAGACATACTGTTTTCAACGTTTCCTGCTAGTAAGCTTTGCACAGTGGCAATGTGGACCATGCTGACTGTAGACAGCTTCCTGCTCAGTGCGCGGGCTATTCTGAACCTCATACTTAGCTGCCTCACTTTCCCCACACACTTTATTTGGACCCTGGATGTTTTATGTGGGGTTTTGGATTCTACTCTGAGAGCCAGGTGCTTGAAAGTTAGCTGCTGCTGTGTCCCAGTGCTTTTATGGATCTGGCCCTTAATCATTTTGTGTGTCATTCCCTCTGGAATGGAAATGATTAAGCCTCCCTACATAACAGAGGTGCTATTTGCAAGGTGTTTGGATACTGGTTGGGTGGAGCTATATAAGCAGAAATAAACAGCAAGAATTCATAGGTTGTGGTGAGTCTAAGGAATATATATTTTTATTTTATACTAGTGAATTGCCCATCAAGCATGATGGGGAGGAGGGGACGGGGCGGGCAGGGACAGAGCGCCGCATGCCACCAGCCCGTGCTGCCACCACCTCCCAGGAGCGGGGGGAAGCTTGCACGCAACCACCACTGCTATCCACTGCCCTGTGCTGCCGCTGCTCCACAAAGCCACGTGCCACCCCTCCCTGCACATCCAGTCCTGCAACACCCCCCCACTGCATCCGGCCAGCTGTGTGCAGAGCCCTCTGATTGGTTGGCAGCCAATCACAATGTTTGCTGAAACAACCAACCAGAGTGCTCCAAGAGTGTTACAGACAGACACACAGGCAGACGGACTAAGCCCTTTATAAATACAGAATACCAAAGGCATCATTTTAATTATTTCTATAGTTCTTTGAATAGCTATTCAACCGAAATATACCAGTTTCAACATAAGGGGACAGCAGGCATCAACAAGCATTCAGATTTTATGTATAAATATAATGGTAATAGTTTTCACTTTCAAATATTTGGGTTTTGGAAAACTTTGTCTTAGCATTATAACGTTAAAATGTTGTACTACATTAACATATAATTATAACCTTAACTCTAAACTCAAAAGTTTTCAGCTGCAATACAGTATATAGAATTATATGCTAAATGCAAGTATAATTACCATGTAATCTGTAGGGCATATAATTACAGAATATATGCATAGTACACACTAATTACTATGTGATTACAGAGTAATTACATGGTTATTTGTGCCTGGAAGACAAATGTTATGCTCAACCATTTAAACTAAGATGCCCTTGGATAAGTGGTTGCTATGAATCTGTAGATGAGCAGTGAATTAAAGCATGCCAACATGCATAGATATAAACTTATTACATCATACTTCATAACAAACAATTTAAAAACAAGCCAAACACAACTGTCCAACTCTGTTTATAATCACGCCAATTCTTTTCTTTATTATCCAAATTATGGCAAATGCTGTCATAGAATTACAGTGCTTTAAATCCTTACAACTTAAAAAGAAAAAAAAAACAAAAGTGACATTTTAACAATTGTTTTTGAAAAACAGCACAAGCCAAATTTAGAGAGAACATAAACAGTAGTGAAAGTGATGTTAAGCACAAGTTAAGCTAGATGCAAATTGTTTAGAAAACTACTCTGATGTGTACCTTCATTTATGTACTTTAGCCCACAGGTGTCTTACACTTTTTAAGTGCTATCTTTGAAAATATCCCAAAGACTTCTTTCTTTCTAACTTAATCAAGCCTGTAACTTGCTGGATTTAGTTACCTGCCATTTGCTCTCTATTTTGCTATGTATGTACTGATGGCTAGAAAATGGTATTTAGAGGTTTGCTTTTGGGAATTGGCTTGTAGGTAAAGTAGATATGCATTAAAACAATGGCCCAGGGCAACAGCAAGGGTTAATTGATTTTTAAAAGCCTGTTTGTGCCTTCAAGGCCCACTGTGTCTGACATAAGCAAGTAGCAAACAGATGCACAGGCTGGGAAATTGGAGACATGTACCACACTGCTCTATAACATGAGATAAGGTGGCACCAGGTCACAGTGCCCAGCTGCAAACCCCTTGGGATCACCAGTTTTGGGGAATGGACCAAATGAGGAGGATACCAGAAAGAACAAATTAGGAGGTATGCATGTGATGGGTTTGTGAAACAAAGGAATAATGCTGACAGCACAGAATGTGGACAGTATGATGACCAGAGGGAGACCAATCAGTAATGCCCAAAGGTGAAGAGTCATCAAAGGAGAGAAAAAGCACACAAAAGAAGGGATTTCAGAGCAGAAAAGGGTCCTCAGGAGGGGAATCGGAGGCCACTACGGACAGAGGCAAACCACCAGCCCGTCTCAAGCACCCCACTGGGGGGTAAGGGGGGGGGTGGATTAATATAGGGATGGGCCTTGGCCTCCAACGTCCAGGCTGCTGACATCTGATATTAAAGAGAGAACCTCACAGTGCAGCTCAAGTACTGGCCAGATGTACCTTGACTCTGTGAACCTGGGGACTGGTACAGACAGAATTGTTTTCATTATTCTTATCTGCTATCACTGTGCATCAATAAAATTTACCTATTATCAAATGGAGAGGTTGTGGCTGGTCTGAGGATTTGGGTCCACCCAGAACAAGGTATCTGGGTCTTAAATCCAGAGCCAGCATATAATACCCTACAATATTTAACCTCCATATTACACCACATAGCAGTACGTTGCCTTTTAAACTAAGAATTATAGTACAGCGAGATATGAATCAGCTGTGCTTGTATTAAATAAGAATACGTAAACAAATTGTTCTCATTAATGTTAGATTTTCCTGGACTATTGAATCATATTTTAATGTAAAAATTAAAAACCAGAACCCACCATCTTTTACACTGCAAAAATATCATGTAGTTATTCTTGACACTTATGATCACTATAAAGAGTTAACAAAAATAACTACAAAGAGTTAACATGGTAATTACTGCAAATGTTCCTGCAGATTACTTACATGCTACTAACGTTTAAGGTCAATTTTTCTGCCAGCTTCTGTTTTATGATATTCAAATTATGAAGACAAGCAGACAATTGGCACTTATTCAGTATTAACTATGCTAGTGGTAAAGTGGGGCCCAGTCAGGGATGTCCCCTTGTTGAAGGAT